TTACTTCTTCGTCTACTCTTACTACCTTACTTACCTTAACTTAACTAAAAGAAAAAACGTAAAAAGAAAGTAAGTACTCTTGTTAGTTACTTATATACTACTTATCTTTCTCTCTCTCTCTCTCTCTCTCTCTCTCTCTCTCTCTCTCTCTCTCTCTTCCTCATGGGTGTAGGGGTTGGTCAAGTGTGAAGATTTGGGATCAGCATTAATTGATAGACATGTTTCAGTGGCTTGATTTGGAGTTGCACCATTCAATACAAGTCACTTGGGCGTGTAAAATTGAAATAAATCTTGTAATTTAAGCAAAACAAAAACCAGCCATTTTCTTCTTTGCTTGTTTTGCATTTATCAGAATTATATCATGAGCCAGGAAAACTGAAAATCTAGCTGCACAGAGCCATATTCTCTTCTTTCTTCCTCCTGTTCTTTCATGATTTGAGTCTGAAAAACTGGAGAGAGAGAGAGAGAGCGATGATGATGATACGCAGGAAAATAGTGAGATTTAGAGAGAGAGAGAGAGATGGTGATAATGATATGCAGGAAAATAGAGGGATTTGGATACAAATATCTGCCCAGTGCAATTGCAACATGGAAGGTTGAGGCTCAAGTAAGCTTTCAAGAAGAAGCCATGGAGAAAAATTTTAGGAGTTGATTGAGCAGGTTTAAGTGAGTACGCACTTTGTTTAGCATTGCTTTGAACATATGTTATATAATGTCATCATTTTCTTTCTTCATATGCACATCATCCGATACTGTTGTTATTATTATTGTTATTATTATTACTATTATTATTATTCAAATTGTGTGCAGGACTATCATTATTGCTACTACCATATAACTATTTGCGCTACAAATAAGAGAGCACTATTATTACTATTCTAAAAGTGTCTCCTACTTATAATATTTACCATTATTAGCTATTTTGCATCAGTATCATATCTTTTTCCCTGCTAAATACTACATTTTTCTTTTCTTCTCCAAATCATGTATATTTCCCTATAATTTCATTATGACATCCAAAACTATGTGGGCACTCTCTAATATTTCTTATTCATAATCCTAACATTATTTCTTTCGTTTTCTTTGAGTTGGTGGGCTCATTTGGTGGGGTTTCAAACCCCCAATTATATATGTACAAAAAATAGGAAATAGGTTTACTTTCATTTAACTACCAAGAGGTCCATTCTTGATATTCCCAAAAGGATCTAGGTTTTCATTTTCATTTTCAAGGTTTAAATATTTTCCTCATTAAAAAAGGAACTAAAAAACAAGCAACCTTGTATGGTAGTCCTCCCCCTTGAGCCTAGAAAGTTCTTAGAATAAACTAAAATGATAAAATAACAATAATATAAAACCAATAAAATTATACCAATAAATAGAATATAGAAACTTTGGGAATTGAATGAAGAAAATATATCCGTTGGCTGGTCAATGATCCTGCCAGCTTGTTTAGGGCTTGAAATTAGGGTTTCCTTGGCGTGTGGAATTCTCCATGAGGGTGCACAAAACATATAAAAAATCATGGGGAACTGTAGGGTTCACTATCCCTATACCATTTTTGCTTTTCTTTAGAAATCTTTTTAGGGTTTTTAAGGATGTGATGGCATTTGGTCTACCATCGTGGTTGCTTCAAAAATTCGCATCCCTCATGTGATGGGCTTTGTCTCTTTACCCACCTTCCCCCACTTAAATACAAAACCCTAATTCAGGGATAAATCTTGACCGTACACTTAGTGGGAGTCTGGAGTTTGGTAGGCCATAGGAAATACATTTTAGGGTTTGGCTTTTGAACTGGGATTTTGTATCAATTTCAGGATTTGGTGGCATATGCAACCATAGACTTTCCAAAACCGGTGAGTTTTGGTGGGGCCTCGGATGAAAGAAATTTGTGTTAGTTATTTTTTAAATTAGGGTTTTCTTATTGAAGGTTCAGCATCTTCCATGATCTCTTCAATTATTTGTTTACTTGTTTACTTTTTGGCATAATAAAAGTTTTGACTTCGTATGAATCTCATTTCATAGTTACTAGCCCGATCTAACTGTCGATCGGTACCTAGGCTGGTTTGGTCTAAGAAAAATATAAATTTGGTTGAGCACTAATCAAAATCAATGTATGATCAATTTTAGCCCATCAGAAAAATTAGTTTTGACCAGTTAAACTAGGTAAACAATATTATGAAATTTTTTATTGTATTTTGTATTTTTTAACTATATTATAATTTCTCTCTGTTTTTCTTAAAATTCGGTTCAAATGATTAGACTGGTGGTCATACCGATTTTGACTGGACCAAACCTCTTACTGATTCGATAGTCGATTTAATTCTAATAAGATTGCCCTAGACATTTTTGTATTTGGGGAGGGGAATATGAGATATTGGGGATTTATTCTCCAGAAGGCATAATATAATCTCAACACTTCGTTTCACAGGTCAAGGGTTTGTTCTGTTTTTTTTATCCTTTTACTTGTTAGAGGATTTAACATCAATGCACGTTGTGTTAGGAGCAGAAGCGTGAGTTCATTAAATTGTCAAAACTTGGGGAGAAATAAAGTATTAGAGGGGTGATGTGATCACGAGGCCCTATTCTATTTGTATTTGTATTTGTATTTGTATATGGGTTGTATCGAGTTGAGGATTTGCATGTGATATGGGGAGTCCCAAGTACCATTTTCTTCTTAAAATAAGATATGAAGATTGGGGTTTGTAAGTGGAGAGTGGGTGCGACTTCCCCGAGGGGTAGCTTCAATTGAAGGAAATTTGTGGACGTGCAAAGGGGTAGATGTCACTTTTCATAAGGATTGCGTCACATACTGTGTGCCCCAAAGTTGGTGCTCCTTTTCTCTCTCTACACTCTCTTGCTCCCCAATTTCTCTCTCTCTCTCTCTCTCTACACTATGTGCACCCTCATCTCTCTCTCTATGTGTGTGTTTGTTTCACCAATTGACACTGTGTTTTCCCCAAAGTCGGTGCTCCCTTTCTCTCTCTACAATGTTTGGTCCCCAATCTCTCTCTCTCTATGTTTGCTCCCCAACCTATACAATGTGCGTTCTTGTAAATTAGTCTCTCTCTACGTGTGTGTGTTTGTTTCTGCAATTAACTCTGTGTTCCCCAAAGTTGGTCCGCTCTCTCGACACTCTGCGTTTTCCCAAAGGTGATTCTCTCTCTCCCTCGTTTTCTCTCTCTATTTTTCTCTCTCTCTCTCGTTTTCTCTCTCTATTTTTCTCTCTCTCTCCATGTGTGTTTGTATGTGTTCATCCTGCATGTTCATATGCGTACATGCTCATGCATGGTCAAATATTTTATTTTGACCATGGGCACACGCATTCATCTGCATGTGCGCGCATCCTTCGTTTGACATTAAGAACCATCCCCCCTCCTCTCTCTCTCGGTCTCTCTCTCTGGGTCTCTACGTGCGAGTGTGTGCATGAATGTGTAATGTGAGCTTTCACGCGTATATGCACGCATCATTTACGCGTGTGCCACTGTCATGTCTGAGCATATTTGTATCTTTGACCATTAGCTCATCCACTTGACGCAACTATATACACACTTGTATTTTTGTTTGACAAGTTTTTCTTTTGTTTTTTTTGGGTGCTTTTGTGAAAAGATTACGAATATTATTACGGATATTCATAAGGAGAAAGTTTATATAAGATTGTAATTTTATTTGTAGAAGTAAAGTTGCAGTAATCTACATTATTTATTTTATTTTGTTAGTGTAGATCGAATATTGTTTTAAAAGACATGTCATACATTAATATTATTTTAAAAGATAAGTTAAATCTACACCGTCTAAATAAAATGGATGGTGTTGAGTATCGCAACCTTGTTTGTACAAATAAGGTTGCAACATTATACAAACGCATCTATCAAATAAAGTTACTAAGAGTTTACATCAACAAAAATTCTAACACATGAAGATTATCCATGGCAATCTATGCTTAGCTAAGGAGTCTGCCAAATCATTAGCCTCTCTATAAACATATCAAAAAGACACATCAATAAATCCATTATATGCATCCAAAACTGCAGTCTCTACGTTGGCTTGGACTCCTTTTTGTACCTATTAACTACATTTAAAGAGTCACCTTCAATAATGTAATAACCTCCACATTATCTCTACACTTAAAAGTTTTAGACTATGTAAAAGAGCAGGAATGTTAGGAAAAGGGCTGGGTCATGGTAGTAGCATCCCCACACCCAATTACCATATCGTGGTATCCATTCTTACCGCTGACACCCCCAATTAACACCTTCATAATATAAGTCCCTAATCTATCGAAAAAATTAGGTAGGGCTTTGTCTTCCCCACTGAATTACCCAAAAATAAAAAGAAAAAAGAGCAAGAATGCAGAAAGTTTTGCCTGATTTGGTTGACAAAAGATTGATACAACACAAAACATTCACAAAAATAAGATTGATATATTCGCATAACATGCCAAAGATCATTTTTTTTTCTATAAAAAAGTTCAAATACGGTGTCAAACATATATCATTAGAAATAAGGCGCATTTAAAAAACTACTGAAAAATGTTGTTTTGATATTGAAAAACATCTATCTGATCATTTTGATCTTGAGATAGATATATAGATATGAAGAAAAATAAAAGGATTTCAAGTCTAAGAGTAATGCATTTTG